GTAAAGGTAGCGAACGAGTGTCACGGCTACGTGGGTGCCGATCTGGCGTCGCTGTGCTCAGAGGCAGCACTGCAGCAAATCAGAGAGAAGATGGAGTTGATCGATCTCGAGGACGAAAATATCGATGCCGAGGTGCTGAATTCACTGGCGGTGACCATGGAGAACTTTAGAGTGAGTTGTTATTTTTAGTATTATTGTTGTTATTGTTTTTGTTGTTTTTGTTATTATTACTGTATAGTTACTGTATAGTTGTCGCCACTGTAATGGTGAGTGTAATTTGGGTAAATTCAGTTCGCAATGGGCAAGAGCAGTCCGTCAGCGCTGCGCGAGACGACGGTGGAGACGCCGAACGTGACGTGGGCGGATATCGGTGGTTTGCAGAATGTGAAGAGGGAGCTGCAGGAGCTGGTGCAGGTGCGGTTATTTGTTATTGTTTTATTGTTATTATTAATTACTTTTATTGTTATTATTATTTATTATTGTTTGTTATTGTAAAAATAATGTTAATGTTTGTATAAATAATGCGATTGCAGTATCCAGTCGAGCATCCGGACAAATATCTCAAATTCGGCATGCAGCCGTCTCGCGGAGTGCTCTTCTACGGCCCTCCCGGCTGCGGCAAGACCCTGCTGGCGAAGGCGATCGCGCACGAGTGCCAGGCCAACTTCATCTCCATCAAAGGACCCGAACTGCTCACCATGTGGTTCGGCGAGTCCGAGGCGAACGTCAGGGACGTGTTCGATAAGGTGAGTGTAGTTTGGGGGGTTTTGGGAGGGGGGGGGTGATATACGAGGATTGATAATAATATACATAATGGAATGAATTGATAATTATATTGTAAGATAGTATTGATAATAGTAATATACATATAGCATTGGTAGTAATAATGATGTACTTATAGTGATGGTCATAGTAATTTGATGTGATGTTAGTTATAGTAGTAATGTATTTGGTGTATTAATAATAGTAATGTGTATATAGTACTGATTGTGATAATTACTTACATATAATGTTGTATATGTAGTAATATTTATAGTAATGTATATGTAGTATCGTGAGAATTAATTAATTAATTAANAATTAATTAATTAATTAAAGGCACGCTCGGCAGCGCCATGCGTGCTGTTCTTCGACGAGCTGGATTCAGTGGCGAAGTCGCGTGGCGGTAGCGTGGGCGATGGGGGCGGGGCTGCGGACAGGGTTATCAATCAGATATTGACGGAGATGGACGGCATGTCGAACAAGAAGAACGTGTTCATCATTGGGGCGACGAACAGGTGGGTGGGCGTGGCTTTTTGGGTGTTTGTTATTGTGTTTAGTGTTTTGTGGGCGGGGTTTGAATGATACGGGTTAGTTGGGTGCGTGCGGTTGTGGGCGGGGCTTGTGGCGGGTTGCCTGCGTGGTGTGGTTATTGGTGGTGGTGGCGGTGGTTCGGAACGCGTAGCGGCAAGTGCTGTAAGCCCCGCCCACTCACCGCTGCATGGTGGTGGGCGGGTGCGCGCGTGTGTAGTGAGGTCTTGTGTGGTGGTATTTTTGTCTTCGAAATCAGGATTTTTTGTGGTTATGTTTATTATTATTGTTATTTATTATTGTTATTAATTATTATGATATCAGGCCGGATATAATCGATTCGGCGATACTCCGTCCAGGCCGTCTGGATCAATTGATTTACATTCCGCTGCCGGATGAGTCGAGTCGCTTGCAGATATTCAAGGCGAATCTGCGTAAAACACCTGTTGCATCGGTATTTTTTGTTATTTCGTTGTTGTTTTCATTGTTTTCTTCATCTCTTTGTTTTCTCTCACTGCCTAATTCTCCGCATTTGCGTTGCCTCTACGACTGTATGCTTCTCTGCGCTGTAGTGACCCTTCAACTGTCTCATTGTCTGCGTTGTAATATGGAATAAACTGAATTAAGGATGTGGATCTGCTGTACCTGGCAAAGAGTACAATTGGCTTTTCGGGTGCAGACATAACAGAGATATGTCAGAGAGCGTGTAAATTGGCGATCAGAGAATCGATAGAAAAGGAAATACGACACGAAAAGGAGAGACAGGAGAGACGCAAGAAAGGCGAGGAACTCATGGAGGATACCAGTTACGATCCGGTGCCGGATATTACGAAGGCGCATTTCGAGGAGGTGGTTATTTATTATTATTTATTATTATTATTGTTATTTATTATTATTATTGTTATTATTATTATTGTTATTATTTATTATTATTATTAATTAATAATTGAATTGAAGGCGATGAAGTATGCTAGAAGATCGGTATCGGATAACGATATACGTAAGTATGAGATGTTTGCGCAGACACTGCAACAGCAACGTGGATTTGGAACGAACTTTAAGTAGGGTTTTGGTTTATTTTTATTATTTTGTTATTTATTATTATTATTGTATTATAATAATTATTAATGTAATTAAATGAATTGCAGATTCCCAAATCAAGGAGCAACAGGTCAAGGGTCAGGAAATCAGCCGTCGATGCCTCCAGCAGGTTCAGGAGGAAATAATGACGATGATGATCTTTATAGTTAACTTTGATTATTATATTTAATTATTATTATTACTATTTATTACCGTTATTGTTATCATTCATTACAATTATATTATTCAGCATCCCATATAACTCATGCTTATTCGAGCCGTCTTCTGTTATTATTATTATTATTA